ATGAAAGAGTTCAATCACAAAAATCACCAACTAATACTAACATAAGTATGCTTCATGCTTACTCAAAATTCCAAAGCGAAAATGAATAATCTTCTCATAATTCTTATATTATTTTGATTAAGGTGAGTCACAGACAGGTAAACCTGTGAAAGAACTTTCCTTTAAAAACCAACTAGGTTTCAAAGCAATGTAGAGACATGAAGGAGTCCACAATTTTTCTAGCCAATTAGCTTGAGAGACACAATGTGATTCAATGAGCATGATTAGTGCATTATTTCCAATCTAATTGAGAAAACGCTCATTTAATAGTATGTTTTAGGCTTTACATATTTTTTTGGCAAGGGAAGAAGGAACAGGTAAAATAGATAAACAGGAAAACAAGGTCTTATTTTCATGTCTTTATAAATTCCACCCTCTAAGACTTACTTTCTTTACTCATTAAATGGCTACCACCTTTATTTACAATGCAAAATAAAAAATGTACAGCATATTACTATCGAAATCTGATTTTGACGATGTAAGGTGTCCTCTTCAAAAATATTTTTTAAAATTCTTATTCCTTTATTCTTCAGACAAAATGACCATTAAGTAATATACAAAAGTTGGTCCATTACAGTATGAGGGGAACCTATATGCCCCAGATCAGGTCATCTTTCCTACAGTGTCTGACTAGGAAAAGCAGGTAACAATATCTCTTACAAAGATCAAACACGGTAGAAATGAAAAAGGGCTGTCTCGTAAAGGAGAACAAACGTGGGAACCACAACCTCCCAAGAGATGATAAGGATTAAGACTAGATTAACCATTATGAGTTAGCAAAAAATTAAGCTTCTTTTCATTATTAATCTTTGTAAAAAGCATTTTATAGATAATAAAAACCACTTGGTGCCCCCAAACCCATTTGTAACATGAATATATGCTCAATTAACTATTCCAAAAGTGTTTTTATATTATAGTATCTCCTGACTCTGAAATCATTCCATTAACACTCTTGCTCTAAACAACTTACCATGAAAATACATGTTTCACATACAAAAATGAAAATATACAATTTAGACTAATTTTGTGCATACATATATAGCTACTGAATAATTTCCAATCTGTTGAACGTCTGCAGAAATATGGCATGATCTTACCTTTCATCCTCGCCATCCACCAGGGGTGTCGTCAGCGGTAGCACCTTCAACGGGAAAAGAGAAGCAGAGGCTGCTAGGCTGCTGCTACTCCCATCTGAAACTGCTGACATTCCCCCACTGTCACCACTGATAGTCTGAGGTAAGCAAACTAAGGAGGGCTCCACTGGGCGCCTGGCATCTTCAATTTGGCTTCCAATTGCCTGAGCTAATGATTGTGCAGAGAACTGAGCAGAACTTAGCGGTAGTTGTTGTGCCAACGGCATATTTATATTACTTGCTACCAAGGGAGGTTGACTAACACTTTGAACCAAATTACCATTTTGGGTGGCAGGGGTTTGTGCTATATTCTGTGGTGGAACCAAGTTTGTTGGGGCAGAAGGCAATCCAGAAGGACCAGCTGAACTAACCTGATTCGTAACAGAAATACTACTAGCAGAGGGCAAAGGACTAACTGCTGGCAACTGCTGTGAAACAACTCCTTGAGCTACTGGCTCTACTCCTTGTGGCTGGGGAGGCACAGTTAACAGGGTACTTTGGGGTGCAATAACCAATTGTTGAGGAAGGCTTGCAGCGCTAATTTGAACTCCCTGGTGAATAATCCCAGTTTGAGCAGGTGGAACTACTTGTGAAGATGGAGGAGCACCTTGCTGAATAACCGAAGGTGGAACTTGGGCAGAGGGCTGCTGCACTGCAGTAGGTATGTTTGCTTGCTGACCAATATTTGCAATCTGACTGCCTGTAGGGACAGCAGACACCGCTGTCTGAGCCTGGCCAACAGGCTGGCCAGAGGCCCCTGCAGGTTGCGCTGCGACTGCTGTGGGCTGCACTGGCAGCTGGATACCCTGTGGCTGAGCGACAGGAATCACTGTTGCTCCTGCTCCCACTCCTGCAGAACTGGGCTGTCCGGAGGACACTGCTGTTTGAAGAATTGGCTTCTGTTGTACATACTCTGAAGGAGGATTCTGAGTCACTGATTTACCATGGCCTGGAGCCATCTGGGTAGAAACCATTGGTTGCTGCTGTCCATACTGTAACTGCTGGGGTGGTGCCCCTGGAAGGGGAGTTTGCACTGGAGGAGCCGTCTGAGAATATGGCAGTTGGGGTTGAGCCAAAGTGGAGAGAGAAGGCTGCTGACCTAAAGCTGAAGTGACACCAACCACATTTATAGGTGATGGCTGGATACCAGAGGCAGCACTGATAGTGGCTTGCAGAGGTACTGGTTGAAGACCTTGCTTTTGCTGATAGCTCAGTTCTTGAGACTGTAATTGTACTTGTGAGATCTGTGACTGAGAAATACTCTGCGGTATACTAACTGCTGGAACACTTTGTGGACCAGTGCTACTGAAATCCATCTGTTGGAGGGTCACACCTTGAAGAGCCGGTTGCTGCTGCTGCTGCACCACCACAGCAGAGGCTCCCATCTCTCCACTTCCCACACTCTCTGTGTAGTGACTCAGTGTGCTGACACTACTGCTCACTGAACTCCCACTAGTGCTCTCCCTCTCAGAAGCCACTTCTATCGGGTTTTGTTTTACAGTCTCCACCGCCTTATTTATCACCACACCTTCTGTAGCAAGTACAGCATTTTCTTTTTCATAGAACTCAGTGCAAGTCCATCTACCTTTTTTAAAGGGCTCAGAACTAGAATCTAACTTCACCACTCTGAACCTTGATGTGTTAACTGTTGGTTGTTGCTGCTGACTTGAAACAGATCCCACAGTCACCCCTGCAGCTGCACTGGGGACACTGTTAACAGTGGAGGAAGTACTAGTACCATTGCCCATGCCACTCAAGATATTCACATTAACACCACTAGTAACTCCAGGCCCAACACTCATACTAGCAGCACTAGGAATATTGCTTGTATTTATATTAGCATTGCCAAATACACTGCTTGTCACGTTAGGATTAAAACTACTCACAGCACTAATGGTAACATTATTCATTGTATTAGTGCCAGTAACAGAATTTATACCTATACCGCCTGTAGTACTTGGAGCACGGATATTAGTCATTACAGATGCAGGTGAGCCACTGGATGATACAGCAGAAGTTGGTGCAACTGGTGTAACACTGTCAGAGCTTCCAGTTGTAGAGAGTTTTCTGGATACTGGGCTTGAGGGTGGCCCTCCAGGAATGGATGCCACAGCAGCATGAGATGGATGGTGGTGCCCATGTTGGAGGTGGTGCCCATGATGAATGTGATGGTGGTGATGGAGGTGGTGTGGATGAGCATTCCCATTGATCACAACATTCTGTTGTGGAAGGTGAGGCAAATGAGGCTGAGGAAGATGGGGCTGATTGGGAGAGACTGCCCCAGGTGTTTCGGCTTCCTGGAAGTTATTTAGAGTCTCTTCTGAGGAGCTTCGTTCCGGCTCCCCTAAGTCAGTAGCCCTGGAAAGTGATACATCAAGGATCTCAGAAGAAGAGAGATCTTCAGTGTGAGATTCATCCAGATCATCATAGCTCTCAGTGTCCTCTGCTATACTGTTGTTAGAGCTGATACTGGCGGAGATCTGAGCCGGAGTAACGCTAGTTATCTGGAAGCCACTTTTCTTTTTCATTTGAGTTCCGCCTGGTGCAAGAGGCTGTGCCTGCAGCTGAGCCTGCGAAAGGAGGTTCAGGCTTTGTGGAGGCGGAGGCTGTGGTCCCGACGAAGAAGATGCTGCAGGAGGCGGTGGCTGGAGCAACGAAGGAGGAGGAAAATCCTCGGAAGATGTGGCACTGCTACCAACGCCGGTACCTGCTGCATTGAGAGCAGAGGCGCTGCCACTACCGCTGCCCCTTCGAGGGAACATTGCCGGGTGCGCCATCTTCCTAGCACTAATGTCTGCAGCGGCGGCCGCCGCCGCGGCGGTGGACTCTGGCGGCTGGTGCATTGTGTTAGGTACCGGGGGGCGGAGGAGGCGAGTGCAATTTCCTTCTGCACCGTAATCTTTGTATTCGAGACGCCGGAGAGGAAAGCCGGACCTGACGCTCCGCCCGGCGCGATTCCTCCTCCTCAGCTGAAGGCGCCGGCTGCTCCTGCCTTCGAGGGCGAGCTTCGGGAAGGGAGGATGAACGAGGGTGAACAGAGAGGCCGGGGACCCGAAAGGGGGACCCCTTCAGTCCTTCACCATTCACTTTCCCCTCTAGTCCCACACCCCCCTTTATATTCCGCTTCACGTGGGGTGCGGGGCAGGAGGGAGGAGGGAGAGCAGGAGAGGGGGGAGGAAAAGCGAGAAATGCCCACCTTCTCCGGCCAACTCCGAAGCCACCTCAGCCCCCACCTCCCGCCGAGGCGGCGGCGGCCGCTGCAAAGCCCTCCCGGTCGCTCTGCACGAAAGCAGCGCGGAGCGAGTGTCGCCTTCCCCTCGCCACCACCGAGGCCACCGCCGCCAGCGAGCCCCGAGCTCAGTGTAGCTCCAACCTCCCCTCCCGGCCCCGCTGGGCCCTCCCCCCACGCCCCGCAGACCCTTTCAAACCCCCTGGGCTCGCGGTGACTGCTCCGTGAGGAAACGCTGGCCGCGGCTGGGGCCGGGGCGGCGCGGCTGCGAGCGGGGCGGCGGCGGGGCGCCCGGTACGGTGAGCCCAGCAACGAGGCGCGGGCGGGCGCGCAGAGACGCCGGGTCCTCGCGGAGCACGGCCGGGGCGCGGCGGCGGCGGTGGCAGCGGGAGCCTAGGGACCGCTCCATCACTGGCAGCCATGGAGCCCGAGCATTTTCCTCCCTCAGGGCAGGCGCCTCGGCTCGGCACACGTCCTCGGGGAGGAAGGGGCCGGCGCCCGAGCCTCCCCGGAGGGCGGCGGGACGTGCGCTAGAGCAGCGGGTGCGACCCTCTCTCGTCCTCTTCCTCCGCAGCCGGCTCGACCTCACCCCGCTGCTCCCGCGGCCGGGCGGGAGGGGGCCGCAGGCGGCGGCGGCGGCTTCTTTCTTGGCGGCGTTGGTGGCCAGACGGGCTGGTGCAGCGACTGCAGCCGACGCCGTTCAAAGGAACGAGAGGTGGGGTTGGTCGGTGTTGGCAAACGGGGCGGGGGAGTGGGTGGGTGCTGAGGGAGGGTGTCGGGCGGGGAGGGGGCTGTGGTGGTTGTTACTAGTGCTCTTCTCCGGTTCCGCCGGCTCCACCGTATCCCCCTGTCTCTCGCGGCATCGGGAGAGGAGGGACCAGCGCCCGGGCGCAGGAGGAGGAGGGGCGACCGCCGGCGAGAGGAGGCGGCGGCGGCGGCGGAGGGAGGGGGCAGGCGGAGGAGGAGGAGGGAAGATGGCGTCTGCGCATGCGCTCCGGCGCCGCAGACATAAAGCCGGGTCTGGCGGGGAAGGAGGTGGCGGATCTTCGGGCCTTGCCGAGCGCTGGGTTTTTCGACGGAAATTGCCGAAGGTGCGGGTGGTGGGGGTGGGGAACATCGGCCGAAGGAGCGAATCCGGGTTGCTCAGTGTGATTCTGCCCCTGGTGGGGGTGGGGCTGGGCTCGCGCGCGCGCGCGGGCTAGGCGTGTCTACTCTTGTCACACGCGGTCGGCGCGCGCGGGCACGCGGGCAGGGGAGGGGGCGCGGCGAACTGGGACCCGTGGAGGCTGCTGGCGCTCCCGGTCTCGGGTGTGCGCGCCCTGGGTGGTGTTCCCCGCCTGCGGAATGGGTAATGAGGCTTTTCTCCGCAGCAACAGCATCACGAGTTTCAATTCCCAGGAGCCCGCCGCCGCCACGACATGAGTCAGGCTTTCTTCTTAAGCGCGTGGCAGAGCCACCCCCGCCCTCGCCTCACCTGGGTTCGCCCCCGGCCCGCCCAGCCCTCGCCCCCTGGAGGGATGTCCCAGCTCCAAGAGCTGCGGGCTCAACGGAAGACCAGTGGCTCTCTGCAGTAAATAGTGGCTTTTGTGTAGGGCAGTGTGGCTGCCATGTGGTCCTCTCACCCTTCGACGGGCAGGGTGAGGCAGCGGGGCAGATGCTGCGGCTGTTTGCAGCTTACTGTCTAAATTCCTCATGGATAGGGTCTTCTCTAAGGAGACATGGTTGAAATCCGTCCTTTTCTGGAGGGAAGGAGCAACCAGCTCTGTAAACCGACCGACCTCAACAGGTGCAGTTTATTCTCGGGCAGCAATGCTTTTTTTTGTTTTAATTGTCCAGCTTGTAGCCCCATAAGATTTGACTTAAGAGGCAAGGTGGCCTAGTCATGATAGAAGCGCGAGTGAAATGATAAATGAAGCATGACTTCTAGGGCTAGAATATTTTAAAAAGCCATCTGAAATACTAATTTTAAAAAAACCACCTTTTGGGCGGTGCCTGTGGCTCAGTGAGTAGGGCGCTGGCCCCATATACTAAGGGTAGTGGGTTCAAACCCAGCCCTGGCCAAACTGCAACCAAAAAATAGCTGGGCATTGTGGCAGGTGCCTGTAGTCCCAGCTACTGGGGAGGCTGAGGCAAGAGAAGCGCCTAAACCCAAGAAGTTGGAGGTAGCTGTGAGCTTTGACGCGAAAGCACTCTACTGAGGGTTAATAAGTGAAACTGTCTCAAAAAAAAAAAAAAAACATTTCATATTTCATGCATCTCAGTGTAGATCTACAAAAGCAATATTAGGATTGGAGGCAATTTACTGGAAGTTGCTTAGTTGCTTTGGGGGGGCTTGTTTTTGTTTTTGTTTTTTTGAGACAAAGTCTTTACTCGGTCGCCTTGAGTAGAGTGCTGTGGAGCAGGCTCACAGCAATCTTAAATTTGGGGGCTTGAGCAATCCTCTTGCCTCAGCCTCCCAAGTAGGTGGCACTGCAGGTACCTGCCACAACCTTCAGCTAGTCTCTATTTTTAGTGGCGGCAACTGGCTCTTGCTCAGGCTGGTCTCGAACTCCTAAGCTCAAGCATTCCACCCGCACTTTCCACCCAAAGTGCTAGGATTACAGGCATAAGCCACCAAATGCAACTGCTTTCTTCTTATTGAGAGCACATGTAGTGAAAATAAGATAGTCAGTCAGGCTAGGGCTGGGCAAGACACAGCTGGCCTGGCTGGTTTGGGTCCTAAGGAATCTTTACTTTGCCTCATGTCTCCATTCCTGTTTTGCAAACTCAGCTTTAACCTAAAAAGTGTGTATCTTGAGTAGGTTAGGGCAATTGATTTAGGAGATTAACTTTTGAATTAGAAATTTTGTTTTATGTCAAGGGTTATGTCAATTATCGTTTATTATGGGTAATGGGTTATGATTACTATCGTTTAAGATTAAGTGTTGATTACTGTTATAGGGGTTAGCACAGTTCTTGCTTTTAACTTTTATGTATAAAACTGTGATTTTGGAAATGGAAGAACAGAACATTCTTGGAGAGACTTTTCTCACTGTTCTCCAGAATCACTGGCCTCCTGACAAAGTTTGGTGGCCCTGTCCTTTTCTCTGCATGTTGGCTGACAGTGACAGGCAGCTGGACCTTCTTCCTCTGGTAGCAGTGTTACGTAGCAAAAGCTAGCACTAAGCATTTTTTTACTACTAATCAGGAATATATTTCTCATGTAGGAATTTAAAAAACGACAAAGTAAGCCAAAATACTGTAGAGAGAAGTCTGTTTTTTAATTTTGGTTGTTAGGGAACTAAATGCTTAGGGTTAGACCTCTGATTCAGGAAACCAAACTTGCAGGTCTGCAGTCCTATTTGAGGAGATTCTTAAAACAAAAAATGATAAGTAATTTGCATAGACAAGAAGACTTGTCAATTCAACATGTTATGTTTAGTTTTCTCTGAGTGTTTTTCCCCGTTCTGTTCCTCAAGAAGTTAAGATTTTCGGGTGGCGCCTGTGGCTCAAAGGAGAAGGCCCTGGCCCCATACACTGGAGGTGGTGGGTTCAACCTGGCCCCAACCAAAGACTGCAAAAAAAA